CCCCCCCCACAACAGAGGAGGGTGCCATGCATGTACATGATGGAGTCTTGACTGCGAAATCCTACAAAAACTCTGAAACTTGCTGGCTGCGGGTTAAGTCATGGGCACCACGATCGAGTTATCGTGAGCCAGTGGTGTTTTCAAGTTGGTTGGTTTTGATGTGAAGGAGATCAGTTCTTCGCCGCAGATCGCAGTTGATTTGTTGGATGATTGCATAAATTTCACGTCGCAAGGCTGAAATCATCGGTGTTGTGTGGATCCGTTGATCTTTTGTAGCTGATATCGTGGATTTGGTTGAGAAGGTTTGTTCGTGGATATCTGACATTCTGACCGCGGGTGACAGGTTTTTGTCCAGGGGAAAAGAAAAAGGAAAACAGTTTCACAACAACTGTTGGGCCATGGCGTACGTTGGGTGCGGGATTTCCTGCAACCACGACAGGGTCTTTGGGGTGGGATGTCAGTTGTTGTCGGCGTGCATCGATTTCCTTCCGTTTTCCACTTTGGAGCCTGTACCGCGTTGCACTGTTTTTTCCTTTTCCTTTTCCGAATGGAAACCAAGGGCCGCGCTCCACTATACAATACTGTATATGCATTTGGACTCTTTCTGGACAAGTGCATTTGGACGGGTCCAACATTTTGAACCTATCAGGTCAAGAAAATGTCCCAATGCATGTTGAATGTTTTGTAGGGGAGAGAGGCCCTGAGTCTTCCTTCTGCGAACATGGCCACAGTGTGGCTGTAAGATGTTCAGCTCGGATAGCACAAATCGCTGCGTACTTGAAACCAAGTCTAAACACCGCCTGTGGGGCTTGCCGCACCACTCACCAAATGTGCAAGACACAAAAGGTATGAACCGAAAGTGCAAGACACAAAAGGTAGAACCAAAAGTGCAAGACACAAAGGGTATGAAAGGTGTATGGCGGTGAGCATATTTTGTGAGCAGTTCGAGGCCCTTATCCCCGGCGCTGCCACTCTCCATTTCAGGCTCCATGCTAATCTTCGCTGTATCTTCCAATTTTAATGGCTGTCTCAAGCCCATGCAGTTTTATCTTCTCCGTCACACATTTCTTTTTTATCCAGATCGTCGTGGCTCTGATTCCCGCCTCTTTCGCTTATTGAATGCGCGTGCACTCCATAGGTTTCTTTCCTGCATGACGCATTTGTGTTTCAGTTTCTGCGCACACCTCAGTAAACGGGAGAGGGAGAGAGAGAGAGAGAGATTCTCTTACTTTTTTTTTTCGTGCTCTGTTTCTTCTTCCTTGTTTTCCGGTAGTTTCGTTTTAGGTTTTGATGAACTTTGGCTTGCAGAAGCTTTGGCATGCAGACCTGAACGCCAATCTTCAGCATATATTGGTGGTCGGCCAGCCGTGAAAATGCAAGTTGTGACTTCTGTGAAGTTCGCAGGGCAGGTCGTTACTAGGTGACTACCCCCTTCTTGCGAACTTACCCCACCACTGCGTGGGATTTGCAGAAGGGAGGGGGAAGGCCATTTTCCATACCCCGCCTAAGAAAAAAGTTGGAATGAGCCCTATTTTATGCTTTGCCATTTTGAAACTTCTGGGGGTAGGGCCTGCGGAAGTTGAAATTCGGCAGCCCTTGCCCAAAAAAAAAGTTTGGGCCGGGGGCGCGGCCGGTTTGCGAGCTCGCGCGGTGCGTTTAACATTTTTGCCGAGTTGGGGACCCTAAGGAATGACAAAACGCCGACTTTGTTTTTGGACCTAATTTTTACAGTGCGGTGCGCTTGGGTGCGCTGTGCGTGCGCAAATCCGCGCACCGAGGTGCATCGCAACTATGGTGTACGCTGATCGTGGATGATCCGTGTCCTTTTGTTTTTCTTTCTGTATCGTTCTTTGCTCTAAGGGGTGACAACCTTGAGGTATGATCCGTGTCCTTTTGTTTTTCTTTCTGTATCGTTCTTTGCTCTAAGGGGTGACAACCTTGAGGTATCATTACCCAAGGTTCGTGTCCGTCTGGATTCAAACTTAGTACTGCATACCAGCAGGTCATTGGTGTACCATTCAGCCTTATGTAACAGTGTATTTTGTGCTGCTTCGACACTTTTCATTTTTTTTTTTTACTTTTTTTTTCAGAACACTGGTGTATTGTGTGCCACGTGGTATTTCAAGGCTGTCCTTGCAGCAGTGCAGTCAATTGTGCCCTTGCCATTCCTGAAGTCTTCCTGCAAACAGCAATGAGGATTTGTTTCATTCAGTTTTCTCAGTTATAAAACAATGAATTAAAGGCCAGAATCGAATCGATCATAAATTTACGGCCAGAAACAGAAGCACACGAGATGAATCTAGGCTATGAAACTGTCCAGGTGCGCGGCACAAGGTTTGGAACAATAATCCGACCCCTGAATGCTGAAAGCAGTTATACTTCTAGAGCCCTAAATCAAGAGTAATTCCATGAATCTCGCCACACAAGCAGACAATAGGAATTCGAAAGCAAACACTGCTCAGTTGGTAAACCCAATTACTGTTGAAATGCAGACTCAAGTTCGAATCCAGATACAATCAGATGACCGGAAAATTATGAATTTCATGCGGCCAGTTAGTTCAATGATGATATATGAAGGCCGTTGCCCTTTTCATTAAAAAAAGGAAATGAAAAGAGAGAGGAAAAAAAAAGGGCAAACTCTGCGCAATGTAATTCACTTAGCGTGAGTTCTGCAGCAGTATGTTCTTTTGTCAAGAAAATTAATTCGCTTCGCACACTTGGCATAGGCATTTTCTATTGCACTTGACACCATCTTGACCAGATGGTCGTTAAGAGCCGCAAATCTCCAGGGGTGCTTTGTGACAGGTATCACTGGCGGTGCTTTGCGCTAGCGCCTCCATGATAACTGCCGATGTTGAATTCCTTTTAACAATTCCTCTTCCCTATCCCTATGCCTTGCTTAACACCCTTCCACAAGGGGAACTCAGATAGAAGCTCCCCCACTTGAGAGAAGTGGGGAATTGCCACAACTATCACCGAAGCCATCCCAGGGGACTGGGTGGAGATGCTGCAGGACTCCAAAGAACCGCGGGATATCTGGTACAGACTCAAGGAGGGGTGTCCTCGGCTCACAGCAGCCGGGGGAGCTTTGGACAGTCGTGGATGCAGAGGGTAGTAACATACCTTCGAGATATTAGGAAGGAGTCCTCGGCTCACAGCAGCCGGGGGAGCTTTGGACAGTCGCGGATGCAGAGGGTAGTAACATACCTTCGAGATATTAGGAAGGAGGACGGGAGCAATTGGCTCTCTGAAGGGGAACTCAGATAGAAGCTCCCCCACTCGAGAGAAATGGGGAATTGGCTCAACTGTCATCGAAGCCATCCCAGGGGACTGGGTGGAGTCGCTGCAGGACCCCAAAGAACGGTGGGATATCTGGTACAGACTTGTGTGTGTCAACTCAGTTTAGGAGTACTGCAGAATAATGGACCGGACAAATATTGGCTGAGGATGGACCAGGGGGACAAGAAACGATCCCCCTACGTTTTGTCCTGGAGTCATGGGCAGTGCTACCACGGCACCTGCCATAGTGCAGGGTACAATTAAACGCAGACTCCCTAGGAATCTTCGGACCAACCGCTTGTTTCGAAGGCTGCCCACTGAACGCACAGCTAGTTTTTCTGAGAGGAGGATGCCTAAGGGGAGCCCCTTGGCTGTTAACGAGCTCTCTTGAGAAGTGAAGATTAAGTTTGGGGATATCCGTTATTAAAAGACTTATGCCGCTTTAGGCAGTGATTGTTGCGCAAGTCTGCAGTTTGCCACTGTTTAGTCCTCTTAGACTGAGTTCTTTGGAGATATGCAGGAGTGATTTCTGGTTTAATTGGTTACCAGGGATAAGAAGACAGTGCTAGACAAACGTGTCCCTAAGCGAAGCTGGGTAATGTTTCCAGTCTGTTTGATAGTACACTGGTTAGTGGTAGTCTGTGCATTTATCAGCCTTTGGACCTTCTCCGTGCACGCACAGAGTCGAACCGGTGACCTTGGCCTCAGAGCCAGCTTTCTTAATCACTACAGCCATGGCACGGTGTACAATAGTGGATCCATGCCGGTCGTGATATCCACCGCACCCCCGCATGGTTGCAGTGTCCTCCAACTCACACCCACACACATACAACACCAGACTCAGGCATTGGCCACACAGGCGGTTCGCGCTCACTCTGATTCCATCCAGCACGATTGCCTTTCCAACGGGGCTTCACACACGGGCCACAATCCGTGTCTGATTTCCAGGCTGGTTGCCGGGCTAGAGAACAGTCTGTACTTTTATCAGCCTCGAACCTCCGCTGTGCATGCAGGGATTCGAACCGACTACCTCAGCCTCAAGAGCCCAGTTTCTTAACCACTACAACCATTGCACAGTGTACGAAAGTGGATCCATGCCGGTTGTGATATCCACCCCACCCCTGTATGGCTGTAGTGTCCTTCAACTCACACCCACACACACACAACACCACACTCAGGCATTTGCCACACAGTCAGTTCTCACTCATTCTGCTCCCATCCAGCACGACTGCTTTTCCAACAGGGCTTTACCCACGGGCCACCACAATCCTGGTCTGATTTCCAGGCTGGTTACCGGGCTAGAGTACACACACAACGCCACACTCAGGCATTTGCCACAGGCAGTTCTTGCTCGCTCTGCTCCAATCTAGCACGACTGGCAACTGGTTGGCCATCGGGGCTTCACCCAAGGGCCACCACAATCCTGCTCTGAATTCCAGGCTGGTTATCGAGCTAGAGTTCAGTCTGTACTTTAATCATCCTCGGACCTCTTCCGTGCACACACACTTCAAACCAGCGACCTCAGCCTCAAGAGCCGAGTTTGTTAACCACTACACTGTGTACAGAAGTGGATCCATGCCGGTCGTGATATCCACCCCCACCCCTGCATGGCTTTAGTGTCCTTCAACTCACAACCACACATACACAACACCACACTCAGGCTCTCTCTTGAAGAAAAAAGAAAAAACAGGAAGCAGGAACTTAATGGAAGCATAGACTTTTCTCTTTTTCCCTCTGTTTATTTTAATTATTTTTCCTTTTTTGTGTCTTTTTTTTCTTCCTCCCCCCCCCCCCCCCCCCCCTCTTCTAGGGTGACGGCCTTGTGATGTCATCGTAGTGCAATGAATTGCAGTGCTGCAAGCGGGTGTACTCTAACAGCGAGCATAGATTGTGTGTGTTTGCTTGCTGTTTGCTTGTTTTGAGCCTTGCGGGACTTTATCCCGTGACCTGTAACTTGTGTGTGTGTTTTGTTTGTGAGTGTTGGGTCCTAGGGGATTTGGTCCCTGAGTCTGCCACTAGTCATCTCTGTTTGGTAGTCTTAGGCCATTCAACCTTTTTCTGTTGCCCTGTCATAATCTTAGGTCCCCTTTTTCCCGTTTCCTGGGTAGATGCAGGGGAGTCGTAAGTTGCTCTCGTAGGTCTAGTCCGGGTGTCTGGGTGTAGCGGGCAGGAAATTAGTTTCCCGTCTTTTGCTGTTTCTTGTTTGCTGGGGAAACTCTGCCCGTCCGTTGCTGGAGCGGTGCTGCGCTATTTTGGGCGAGGTCATTGTCTTCATAGAAGCCCAGTCATAGCTGGGGTTGGGAAATGAAGTTGAAGACTGCACTCCTGCTATTTTGCAGCGCTGCATGAGAGCTTCCACAGGACTGTGTTGTTGGGTTTGGGCACTGCCATTTTCTACTTGGGAGCCATATCTACCGTTCCTCGTGAGAACTGCATCTTCTTCGAAGTGCTGGATCGATCGTCTCCTTCTTCGTCAGGACTACCAGCGCTGCCGTGCGGGCGCTGAGCTGGCGCTGCTATCGTTGGGCTTGCTGGCTCAGATTGGCACGTTGTGACAGCTGTGGGTTACTGCTGCTACGGCAGCCATAGCCAGGGGTATGAGGTGGTGAGGAGGAAGAAGACGACTCCTGCATACTTCGTTGTACATTTGTTTTTGGTTGTTCGGGGTTGTCGACAACGCGACTGTGATTCTTGGAAAAAGTACTCTAGATTGATTGGAGGAGGACGGGGGGTTGGAGAAGTGAAATCCGTGTTTCTATTCTCTGTGTATTTTGAGCTTCCGCTGTGCATATCCTCTCTCCGGTTTTGTGCGGATTTGCCTTTGAGTCTACTCTGCAATTGCATGTGTGAATGGGAACGTGTGAATTCACTGTGGATTGAAGTTCAATCGGGTACATAACAGTAGAACTGACTTGCCCCAGATAAAGTCAGAGTTACATCTGGTTGCATCTGAAATTCGAACTTTGAGTCTGTTTTTCAACAGTTCATGCGTATACCAACTGAGCTGGGGGTGCGCTCCAGTTCCAAGCTCAGAATATCTGCATTCGGGGAAGGAGCTCTTTGAAAGTGAGTCTTTGACGTCTTATCACCTGCTGCCATCCATTTCTCTTCAGCTCTTTTCTGAAAGCACTCTTGCTGAGCTATGTGAGTCGAAAGCAGATCTGCAGGTTCCTGTTGGTAGAGCTCCAGTAATGAAGCATCAGAGAGTGCATGCATGTTGCCTGCTGAACGCTGAATGCAGGTCATCTGATATGTGCAGTGTTGGGGGCTCTGCATGTTTGTTGCCTGCTGCTGTGATGTCTGCTGCACGCATTGCGAGGTGGGATGGAAGAAGAAGGGATGGATGGCAAGATGGGATGGAGGGATGGATGGCGAGATGTGATGGAAGGAGGAGGAAGACGGAGGAGGAAGAAGGAGGGGGAAGAAGATGGAGGAAGGAGGAGGAGGAAGAAGGAGGAAGAAGAAGAAGGAAGAAGAAGGAGGAAGGAGGAGGAGCAAGGAGGAGGAAGAAGAAGGATGAAGGAGGAGAAGGAAGAAGGGATGGATGGCGAGATGTAATGGAAGAAGGAGGAAGAAGGAAGAGGAAGAAGGAGGAAGAAGATGGAGGAAGGAGGAGGAGGGAGAAGAAAAAGGAAGGAGGAGGAAGGACGAGGAAGAAGAAGGAGGAAGGAGGAGAAGGAAGAAGGGATGGATGGCGAGATGGGATGGTGGGATGGATTGCGAGATGGGATGGTGGGATGGATGGCGAGATGTGACGGAAGGAGGAAGAAGGGGGAGGAAGAAGGAGGAGGAGGAGGAGGAGGAGGAGGAGGAAGAAGAAGAAGAAGAAGAAGAAGAAGAAGAAGAAGAAGAAGAAGAAGAAGAAGAAGAAGAGGAGCGGAGGAGGGGGAGGAGGATGGCCTTTTTTTTTCTTTTCGTTCGCCGTCGATAACTGCCTAAGGTCGCCGAAGATGGGCCCTGCCCCAAACAGCCAAAAGGCCGAAGAAGATAAAGATCGCCGTTAACTGCCGAAGGTCGACTGATGCAAGAAGAAGAAGAAGAAGAAGAAGAAGAAGAATGGCGGCAGCTCCTGCGAACGGCGACGTGCGAAGGGGGCAGCTCATGCAAACGCCGACGGCGACCGGCTCCAGCTGACGACGACGACGACGGGTGGCGGGCGAGGAAGACGAGCTCCTACGAACGGCGACGACGAATGACGGGCGAAGGGGGCAGCTCCAGCAAACAACCACGGGCGGCGCAACTTCGAAAGGCTGCGGGTCGAAGGGGGCAGCTCCAACGAACACCCATGGACGGGCTGCGGGCAAGATCGCCGCCATTCAAATCTGGGCGGGAAACTTGCGAAGACTCTGTGGCCGTCGATCAAGGCGGATCGACGGCCACAGACCCGCTGCAATTTTCAAACCCACTCCCGCAGGCCTATCGGGCCCTATGCCGCGGGTTTTCGGGCCGGTCGGACCCGGTAGGCCTGTGGGAGTCCACCAGCGTTCGAAATGGGGTCGAAAAACCCCGAAATACCCTGTGCGCCGGGGACCGACCGAGTGCACTGCCCGGCCAGGCCGCCCGGGAAAACCCCCTCGGGCCAGTGCTGAACGATCTGTCGGTCCCAGATGGTACTGGCGCTACGTTCACTTCCTTCTTCTTTCTATTATTATTATTATTATTATTATTATTATTATTATCAGTTGTTTTTTTTTGAATTTTGTCGTCTTTCGTTCCACGGAGAGAAGAACGTTCTGGTTTTGAATTTCAATTGCAAATGGGTGGCCTGGACTGGCCGGCGCGTCAATCCTATTTACAGCAGGCTCGACTGTCAAATGCTGCATTCCAAGGCTCCAAAATGGGAGCACCCGCGGCCGCGTCGGTAGGAGATTCATCACCCCCTGCAGGAAGTCATGAGCCCCTTCCTTGCCATCGGACACGGGTACCCATCAGGGGCAGTCCTGCGGCGTGTTTTCAAGGGAGCAGGGTGCCCGTTAGGTATCCCGTTATGGGACCACCACGTCGAACCTGCAGTTGCCTTTACGTCAAAACAAGATAAAAACGCAGGTCTGACACAAGATTTTCCTTTGCTTTTTGTTTTCTTCTCTCTTCCTTCCCTTACATCCCATAACACAACTGGAGGGCAATTGGCGCAAAAGACCGCGCCGGTCCCCCTTTACCTTCACGTCCCTGGGCGAGCCCGGCGGCTACCACGGCCACAGGCCGGTCGTGCTGTGCAGTACAGCAGGGCGCCGAGCCTGCGTGGACCAATGGAAAGCCCAGTGGCACACCCATCCTTTTGTCGGTGGTAGCGCCGACTGGACTGGTCCCACAGCAAAGTGCAGCCCAGCAAACCTAAGATACCACGAGAATTTACGAGTATGCACTCAGCACACAGTGAAGGTTAGGGAGCAGGTCATCAGCGTGCAACGAAGGCATGTGAGCAGGCACCTGGTACGCAGCGGTACGCGAGCAGGCACCCGATACACAGTGTGGTACACGAGCGGATGTATGACACGCAGCGGAGGGCCGGGACACCGTGCGGCACACTGATTCAGCCACCGCGTTAACGGCCTAAAAACGTGGAGGTACTGGTGGTTTAAACCTGAGGTGATTGCGCAAGGTACCCCATTGTGTGAAGTACACAAATGGTAAGATTATCCTTCGGTAAAGGGCAGGTGGTCTAAACTTGAGGTGGTTGCACAAGATACCCACTGTGGGGGGTGCAAGAGGGGGAATGGGTGCAGTAAGGGCAGGTGGCGCCACTGTTGGGACACAAAAGGATGGGGCTGAAAAACTGGGACAAATTCAAGTGCAAGCCCACACACTTGCCTGGACACGACTGGCACCAACCCTGAAGGGGACACCCATTTAGTAACGGGAGATGGGGGCGATGTGCACCCAGATCAGCACAACGAAACAGAAGGTAAACTGGCGCAACCTGCAACCGCTGGGATGCAGCAAAGCGGAGTGCAGGTTGGCCACCGACCACAAAATACTGTGAAAACACCATGTCGGCTTTCCTTGTGTTCCCATAAATCCTAGCCTGGTCTGAGGATGAGCTCAGGCTCCTCACAGCAATAAGTGAAACTCAGAAGCTTATCATATTTCCACATATTCCTGTGCCTGCTGACAAGTATATTGCAGACATGATTAGTGAAACAGAAAAATGGTTGGCATCCGGATACAGGCTCCGGAAATGGCCCAAGGTATAATGGGTTGAGATTCGGAAGACAACGGCAACAGGAGAGGAAGTATCACTTATATTCCTCTCCCTGGATGCTTGTCAGACGGACAACACCTACGAAGTGGCCAACATGCCACGAGCCTGTGGGATCCCCTGGCGGCTTTTCGCCAAACCCAAATGGCTCAACGGCTCAGACAACCCAACTTGGTGGGATACGGACAGTGGAGCTCCTGCATGAAGTCAACTTCTGCATGCCTCTGCAGTTCAAGTTGTTTTGAGCCTGGGTTCGCCAGGCTCATGATGCAGAAGTGGGAAGAATAAGATGACTCTCTGATCTTTCGCAACTCACGTGTTTGTATTTTGTTTCTCTCTAAAACTGACATGCCGCTTTCTGATCACGTTTTATTTCTTCTGTTCTCTAAGTCTCTTTCGCTTTGATTTTAATTCAATTTGCCCTGTTTTCTTTTCTGACCGATACATTGGTCTGTTTGGTGTACCTAAAGGGGTTACTGAATTTTGTCACACCTTTCAGACCTTTATTTTTTCAGAGGTATTGATGTACTAAGTCTACCGAAGTACGTCTCCCCTCCTATCCGTGGTGAAATGGACACAATAAATCTGGTACCTTGGAATGTGCGTGGCCTGGGTACCAGAAGGGTCACGCACACACGTTCCCTAATAAAAACAGCAGCTAGAAATTACAAGAAACCTACAAACCAACAAAAAACCCTACAAACCAACTGGATCTAAATGGAACCCGGCTATACAGACCAGACCTAGACATCAAAGATCTAGAAGTAGACCCAGCGGAATGGGGGTGGATGGTACCTAGCACTTCAGGGAGAGCCAAGAAGCTTACCCCAATATATGATTATGAAGTTAAAACGGGCTACAAACTGGGCAATCTCACAAAGGATCCTCTCCCGGTAATCTCAGACAGGTGGAACAACAGAAGATAATAATACCAGACAAAAGAGAATTGAGTCTGAGAAAATTTAAAAGAACATGGCTCTTGAAGAACAGAATCGCAAAAATAGATGGAGGTACTCTACTCTTCACAAACTGGGACTAACAACAAGAAAGGCTTTACTTAATTCTAACCCACCCACTGCTTTTTCACATCTTCGGACTCGACTAAACCACAACACTCCCCAGCATGTTCTAACCATCGCCCCAATGTAGTTGGCTCCTGCTTTCACCAGCACGTTCTAACACACACCCCCCATTAAAAAGAATCCGAAGGATGCAGTGACTGATTGCACACAAACCTCTTCTGGCGAACCTATGACTGCACACTAGACGGAAAGCTGCGGAACTGAATAGCCTAAAGCTATGAACAGTCTGTACCGAATGAGTGACAGAAGAAGTGGATCACTGTTTACTGGCGTGTAAAGAAATGACAGAATAACTGGACGAGAGCCATATCTCTCCGGGTCTCCCTGCTCACGTCTCCCTTCCCTGATCAACCCACTCAGCTGTTTCCCCTTGACTAACATCCCGGATCAGACACAGAAGACAGAAGGGACCAGTGTCCTATTCATCAGGAAAGTGTCCCTGTGGGGCAGATGGAAGGAGAAAAGCAGCAGAACAACTGAAGGACGGTCCAACCCAAGGGAGAAAGCGCAGACAGAAACTAGAACAACGATTCAAGCTGAGACCCTATGCAGACGGTGGAAGATCAAACAAATCGGGACAGAGGGTGAAGAACAACACTAAAAGGAGAGGCAGACCTTGTATAAGAATTGGCTGGAATAAAGGCAAGGATGTTTATTTGCGTCAGGACCAGGTCATGCTGGAGAGCTTGGCACAGTACTCCAGAAAGAGGCGTTCAACAACAGACAACGTTGGAAGGCATATTCACATCTTTGGTCGCAAATGAAGGTATACAACCCTCAAGAGACCCAGAGGGTACAGGCAAAAAGGTAATGTGGGGAAAGCAGGACAAATTGGGCAAGCTGACAGTCAATCCTCCACTGCAGTGGAGTAATCAATGCTGTTCAGGGGTCCTTCGGCCTGACGGAAGGAAGCGTGTGTGAGTGTTTCTTGATGTAATCTACTTTTGACTTGCCGGTGGAATAGGAACCGGACTGACGCTCCCCAGAATAGAAGGAGCCAGGTCGATAAGGCCCTGTTTACAAAAAAAAAAAAAAAAACAACCTGGGTAAGTTTTCCGGGCCGCCCCCAGACGATTGGCAGCAGAAGGGTCTGTGGGCGCTATGACTGTTGAGGTCCTCGTCTTCTCTATTTTATTTTATGTTACGATCCTGGTCATTCCCAAAGTGCAAATTCACAATGAAAGACAATGCCACCCAATTGCGAAAGAAATGAAAGCACTTGCAAAGAGATAGAGACCAGAAGAAGAAGAAGAAGAAGAAGTAGATGTACACCAGCAAGACCAATGACAAATCCCCCTCTCTCCACCTTCCTCCTGCTCCTTAATTTCCCCAATCTTATTCTTCTTCCCAATAATCATAATAACAATGAGTGGATGAACCAGAATCAATATCCGAAGCTCCCGCTTACTGCTGACACAACAACAACCACAACAGGTCCACCATAGCTATGGCTTCCCCCCTTCTTCCACT